TCGATAAAATTTACATTTTTCATAATATATTTTGATCAATATTACATTGTAGAAAAATTCAAAAGTGATTTTACATAAAAACGCATGGTGGCCACCTTTGGGCCAGGACGATATTTTTTAAAAGTTATCAAAAAATGGTATAACACAAAATTTTATCGATATTTATTTATAATATAATTGTATTATATGTAAACATAATTACCACAAAGTTTTGAATTTTTAAACTATTAACTACCTACTGTAATCACAGTACAACTTTAAAAACAATGGTTTTGTTTTTCCCTGATTTCCAGACAAAATTTTGACTTTTTCCCTGACCCTGAAGAATATCCTAATTCACTCCAAAAATTATTAGACGCTCAAAAAAATGTTCTATTACATTTATTTACGAATTTCTTTAATATTGTAAAATTATTCGAAAACATTAATAACTTTATTTTTCAAAAAATATTTAATTTAATTTATTTAATCATTAATATTTTTTTATAATAATTAAGATTTTCAAATTTAAACCTTTTGAAATTCAATAACTTATGAAAATATTATTATAAAACATGAAGAAATCGATCACTACGAGTCTTCGACTCGGAGTGTTCTATTTCTTCATGTTTTATAATAAATTTAAGATGAGAAAATAATTGAATTCTTGCAGCAAATTTTATTAAAAATTTTGTTTTATTTGTCAAAATAATTATGAATTATAATTATAATAATAAATTCTGAAGAAAAATATTATTATTTATGAAAATAATTAATTTCTTGTGAAGAATTTTATTCCAATTTTTTAAAATAATTGAATTTCTCAGAATTTTTTAAATATTTTTGAAAATAATTAAATTCCATGCGGAGAAATTTCATTATAAAATGGAAAATAATTGAAATCTGACGAAGAATTAAAAAAAAAATTTTTTTAAATAATTGAATTCCTTTGAAAATAATTGAATTCTGATGAAAAATATTATTATTTATGAAAATAATTAATTTCTTGTGAAGAATTTTATTCATGTTTTTTAAAATCGATTTCTTTATGTTTTATATAATAAATTTATGATGCGATAATTGAATTCTTGCAGCAAATTTTATTAAAAATTTTGTTAAAGAATTGAATTCCTATGAAACAATTTATTTGTGAAAATAATTGAATTCTGAAGAAAATTATTATTATTTATGAAAAATTAATTAATTTCTTAGTGAAGAATTTTATTCGAATTTTTTAAAATAATTAAATTTCTCAGAATTTTTAAAATCTTTTTTAAAATAATTAAATTACATGGAGAAATTTTATTAAAAAATGGAAAATAATTAAATCTGACGAAGAATTAACAAAAAAAAATTTTTTTAATAATTGAATTCCTTTGAAAATATTTATTTTTGAAAAGAATAATGTATTCAAATAATTGAATTCTTGAGAAAAATTCTATTATTTATAAAAATAACTGATTTCTTGCGAATAAGAACTTTATTCCAATTTTTTAAATAATTGAATTCTTAAAAAGAATTCTTTTTTTTTAATATTAAAATATAATTATATATATATAATTATATTTGAAATAATTGAATTGTATAGAAAATTTTTATTAAAATTGCAATTTTATTAACTAAATCTGGTAAAGAATTTTGTGAATATTTTTTTAAATAATAGAATTTTTAAAAGAATTTTATTTAAATTTTTCGAAATAATTAAATTTCTCAGAACTATTTTTTTCAATTCTCTGAATATATTTGAATTCTTTCGAGAAACTTCATTAGAAAATTAAAAATAATTCAATTGGTTCAAAGAAATTTATAAAAAATTGGTAAGTAATTGAATTCTTGTGAAACTTATTATTAAAATTTTATTTAAATAATTGAATTCTTTTGCAAAATTATATTAAAATAGTAGATATTAAAATTAATTGAAATTGATAATAGAAATTTTGACGAGAATTTAAAAAAATTTTGAAACATAATTGAATTTATGCGAAGAAGTTTATCATTTTTGAAAATAATTCAATTTCTAGAATCAGTTGTTCTTAAAATTTCAAGTTGAAACCTTTTCAAGTTCATCTATTTTTATGAAAATTGTAAAAGCAACTCTCTTTTGAAATCAAATTAATTTTGAAATTTTGAAGTAAAATTATTCATTAAATAATTTATAAATAATAATTTTATGATAGTTCTTCAAGAATTAAGTTATTTAATATTTAATTAAATTATTTAAAAACAAATTATTTTCATAGAAATAGAAAAAAATGGAAGGTTTTGTACTATAATTCTTGTCAATTTCATAGTTTTTTTCCAATACTTTTAATAAAAATCCCTGACTTTTCCCTGATTTCTCTGACCAATTCTAATTTCCCTGACTTTTCCCTGAATTCCCTGACCTGTGGCAACCCTGAAAATATTATAAAAATGAAACTAATAGAACTCAGCACAAAGAAAATAATAATGAACTGGTATATTATATGAAATTAAAAAGAAAAACATGCGAAAATAAGGGTACAAGAACAAAAAAATTGTTAATATCTATAAAAAAATAATACAAATAAGTTTCTCCAACCGCATCACAAGATTTCAATCCTTATTTAATTGAAAGAGCCAAAAAGAAATAAATTTTTTAAATGCACGCACGTAAACTGTATAAAAGGAATTACGAAAATTGCTCTTTCAATGGTATAACGCATACTGAAAAGGGAGTGAGAAAATTCTTGTCTTCTTAAACTTCCTTGAGTGCGATTCGATACACGTGTGATTGTCAAGAATCACGGATCATTGATCATCATTGTAATGTTGCGCAATTGATCTTGGGAACGATTTGTGATTCACCAGCGGGTGATTTCGTTTCGATTAATATGTATTAAGATTAAGATTGAGTTATACGCAAACTTTAAGTTTTGTCCTAGGAATTTCGTAAGTTTTCTTTTATCTGATTAACCGTCATTTCCATTCATAAACGTTTCGAGGTTTCATCGATTTTAAATGGAACTAATGGGTATCGTTTCGGCAACAAAAAAAATTAAGTTCACCACTCTTACGAAGAATTTCTCATCATATTGATTACATATAGTCTAATAAAATAGGTTTACTATAAATAAAAATTGTAACCACAACCGATATATTAGCATCAGCAACATAATTTACTACTGTATAAAAATTATCCCTCGTATATATAGCACATAATCTTGCAGCATTAAGTTTGCCGTAAGATTGCTGCAAGCTTCGAATGTTCTATTCTATAAGAAGCTTGTTATATGTTAGCTTATGCTGCAAAAATTTTATTACACATTAAATTACACAGGTCTGCATGGTTTTTTATTTTTTATATTCGAGTGGGTTTCCAATGTAATTTTGTCCTCTGAACAAGAAAAAAAATTTGTAAACAAAAATAAAAAAAGCATTTGCAGTATACTATAAATACTTTTTTTATTTTTTGTTAAAATAATAAAATTGTAAATAAAAAATATTTATTTTACATAAAAACGCATGATATATGATGCAGAAATGAATAATTTACAACTTATTTATAAACTAGCTAAAAAACGAGCGCTAAAGCGTGCGAGTAGTTTCTGCTTCTGATTTTAATATCAGATGCCTATTCTCTATACAATCTGATATAGAAATTGTGATAAATAAAAGTTATGTAAATTTTCTAAATAATTTCGTTAAAAATCGTAATTAACAAATAAAAATTATGGAAATACTCTTATACTTTTTTTCGAAAAGAAATTTAAAATGTTCTAAAAAAATGTGATTCATAAAAATCTTTTTTCTTTATTTCTAAAAAACTTCGAATTTTGTTAAAAAATTGTAATTGGGGAATAGAAATAGTGCAAATTACTTGCTTTTTTAAAACAACAAAACTTTGTTATGAGAAATCGTGATTAGAGATATTTCAAAATTTGTTATTCTTTTTCTTTAAAAGAAAACTCGTGATTTAGTTAGGAAAATAAGATTCCAAATCGATAAATGTCCAAATATTTAAAAATAAGTACGAAAACTTAATAAAAAAGGTGCTCACGTGAAAAATATTTGTAATATTTAAAGAAATAGAAAATTTTGTACAACAATTACGTGATTATAAAATAGACGTTATAAAATTTTTCATAAAAAATTAATATTTCGCTAAAATCGTAATTAACATATAGAAATTATGAATTTTTTTTCCCAAAAGAAACTGCAAATTTTCTGAAATGATGCAAATTATTATTTCCATTTTTCAAAGAAAAACAAATTTTGTTAAAAAATTGTGATTAGAAATGGGCATTTTGCAAATTTTTTTCTTTTTTTTCAAAAAGAAAGTTCTAATGTGAAGATAATTGCGATTGAGAAACAGAAAATATGGAAAATATTCTCTATGCTCTAATCTTAATTTTTTTTAAATTAGAAAAGAGATCTGCTTAATTTTGATTTGCAAAACAAATAAGTTTTTTATATCAAAAAATTAAATTTTTTTTGAATGATTTCTCTTCTTAATGACAATTTATTAACAATATTCCAAATTTTCATTAATATTTTGAATTTCTGTTTTATAAGTGTATAATTTGTAATTTCAATGCAAAAAAAAATAATCAATAAAAGCAATTAATAATTTTTTTAGAATAATAACGATTTTTTTGGATTAATTAAAAAATGAAAATAATATAGGTATAAATAAATTTTAAAAAATGAAAGTAGTATAATCTTTTCTATCAAAACGTATCAAAAAACAAAAGCATAATCATGATTAAGTTCAGGTGTGAACAGACTGGACAGAATGAAAGAATGAATACGATTATTATAGTTAATTAATATATAATAAATTGTCAAACTACATATCTATTTCAATGTGAAAAAACATATGGCGATTGTCATTTTACAGCGCGAATAAATGTCAAACGTTTCATTTCAATAAAATAACACTAAGGAGTTAAGTTTTGCCCAAAATGGTCAGGGAACAAACCCATGGGAATTATTACACGTACATATTAATTTTAAGCTTTTTGTGAAGAATACAGTTAATTTCCATCAAGAAAAGCGTTAACTTGAAATCAATAATTGTTTATTTGAATCTCTTTTACATATAGTTAGATCAAAATTTTTTTTCTTTTTAAGCAATAAATTATGCATTTGGTCTGAATTCTGCGTAAAGCAATTAGAAGAATATTGGTGTTAATTAATTAAATTATTTATTCATTCATCAGAATTAAATAAATTACCCTACTTTTAAGGATCCAATAAAATTTGAATTATTATTCTGCCGGTGTTGATTTTAAAAAAAATTTCTTCTTTTGCATCTACATAAACGATGCGATGGTATAAATGTAGCTTCTTTCAAATAAACATTAAGTAAATAATTTTTATTTTTATTTAAGAAAAAATAAATTTTACCGCACACAGTTTTTGTCTGATGTTATGCATATACAGCTTATTCATTAGAATCTGAAATCTAAAACACATTAATTTAAATAATATGAAGAATTAGTTATCTAATAATAATTCTTTAAAATTACAATTCAGGTTAAATTTCAATTTTATATTCATAACAGAAAATTTTTCTAATAAAAAATGTCTTATTTAAATTTTTATCAAGTAAATAAACATTTACTTTAACTATAGCGTGTTGCAAATAAACTATGATATGATAATAGTCAAATATTAATTTTTAATGTCACTTTTATCGGTTGCTTAAAATATGTATTCTTACCTCTTCACTGTCTTTCTCTGAATAGAAAATCTAAATAATAAAATAAGATTTTTATGCTGTTTTTCATATAGAAAAATTTGTATTTAAAACAAATAAATAATTGAGGGCTCGGATCGAAGAACCGACGCTTGTAAACACACAGAACATTGCGAAGCGTCGGTTCTTCGATCCGAGCCCTCAATTTAGTATAGACTCTGAGACAAATGTACTTTTATTTAATACCTACTAATAAATTATATTTGGATTAAATAAAATTTTTCTTAGGGTGTAGTAATAAGTATTTTATAGTATATATATATATATATATATATATATTAGAATATTTTACAGTATTACCTTTTTCAATTTATTTGTAGTCCCACGCTTAACATTCAAAAAGTTTTCCTTTCCACTAGAATATAATTTTTTAAACGTATTTTTCAAATCAAATCGTTGATACCATGGTTCTTTTCTTATTGGTTCACTGCTATCCGAAAAACTTATTTGTTTTGGTATATATGAAAATGGAAATGGTTGCAACTGTAAAATGAAAGAAACTTCATTTCAAGTAATTTATAGTTAACATATTAAAGATGATTTTAGTGAAATTTTAGTTAAACTAATTTATAAGAAAATTATCTATATTAGAAAAATTTTGGGTGATCCAAAATTTTAATTAAAAATGTTCATATACTTGTATTAATTACATTTTCAAGATCTTCAAATGCGTCCGAAGCTCTTTTATCAATTAGTGACCATTCGCTATTTGATAATCTTTTACTGTTATCATCCCAATAATCTTCCTTTGAAGAAACATTCGGCAATTTCACCTGTATAAAAATAGAAGCAATTTTCATTATCCATGTACCTTTATTTTATTTATTAATATTAATCCGAATTTGTTAATTCATATACATTATAGGACTTACCTTTCTGCGAATGATTTGCAGACTGGCTTGTACCGGGAAGAAAGTGCAGTAAAACAAGAAAAATATTTTTAGAGAATGCATTATACTTTCCAAAAAATTAGAAATACTTCAGTAAAAATTAGGCACAAAAAATCAATTTCTACAATATATTGCGATTATAAGGCAGCTTTGAATATACTGTTTAAAAATTTTATAAAATATACGCTTTTAAGGTTTTATTTTCTTCTATTTTTATCTTATACTTATTTTAGTTAATAAAAAAATATCTTCTAAGCCATTGGAGTAAGCTTTTTAGACGGAAATTTTAAAGCAATAAAACAAAGCAAAATATAGATTTCTAAGAATTGTTATTATATGTTTTGATTATCAATATTGTCATTTTTGCAAATGACATCTAAAAAGTTAAAAATATTTTATAAAATTTGAAAATTATTCACTAGAGCTGATATAATACATTTTTTTATCGAACTGCAAACCTTTCTGAAGAGCTGTACACTGTAAAAAATTTAGGGAGTTAACGGACTCGGAAGTTGGGAGTTAAATTTTTCGAGTTAAAAATCAACTCCAAAAGAGAGTTAATTTCTAACTCCCTTCATTCAACACCCGCGCGAGTTATTTTTTCCATGGGGAGTTAGCATTTGGGTGTTAAATTTTAACTCTCTTTATTTAACTCCCCTGGCATTAACTCTCCAATGGGTGCGACTTTTATAGAATATCCCCTGGGGAGTTAAAATTTAACTCCCTTTTTTTACAGTGTATTAACAATTTAGGTAAAGATTGTTAAGTTAGTAATAATCGAACAGTTTCGAACACAACCATGTTGTTCATCAATGATAATTTTCATAAGAGAAGCCTGTAACGTATTTAAAATGTCGCGTTCAAAAACTAAAGTAATTCATAATAATAATTCATAATTCTGAATAAGCGCAATAAGTATGTAATTGGTTATGATAGACCCTCTCTCCAGCCTTATGAACCGGTATAATTTTAGCATGTTTCCAAATTTAAGGAAAAATATACATGAAGATAAAGCTAAATTAAAAGCAATAGCCAATGGCTCAGCTAGAACAGAGACACAATCCTTTACAATAAAACTCGGAATATTATCCCGACCAGAAACAAACGTTGGTTTTAATAATTTAGCTGCCTTAGCAGAATCTTTTCTGAGATTATCTTCGACGGACTTGATGTATATTGAACATGATTCTTTCTAATACGTTTGGGCAATTTTATACGTAAAGAATTTTGAACAAATACATTCAAAGGACGTTCCTGTCGCCTCGCCGAAGTCTCACGAACAGAAGAACAGGACAACAACCGCCACCTGGGCAATACTCCAAGGACGCTCAGCTTACCGGCTCACGGACAACCGTGCACTGACTCCTGTAGAAGGGACCTTCCGAGTCTAACCCAGTTTCCCTCAGGTCAGTGCACGCCGCCGCCGCCCTCCGGACGACCAGGTGACGTCACTTAACATCGTCCCAGGGATAAACTCTTCAGGGGACTAGTGAAGTGACTTAAGGCCCGTAAAGACGACCTTCTGAACCGAACTAGTCAAAAACCAACGTCAACGGCGACGCCACCGTCGGGCGCAGGTGGATTGCCTATTCAGGACGCCGCCCCAGAAGTAGCCGCTCGGAACCTCGGTCAGCAGGGAGGCCGTCACCCAGTTTGACAATTTCCAAGTCAACTACGTGTCCACTCCACAGACCAAAGGGGCTATGCCCCTCTTCCAGCAGGGTCCGCACCAATTCGGAAGGTACAAAACTTACGCCGTCGCCTCCGCGCCAAGTTTAGCAGAGCGCGGCGCACTTTGTTTCCCGTGGAAAACAACCAGATGGGACACGGTCTTGACACTGGAATTGGACCTAGCCGTCGTGTCCCCGAACACGGTTCCAGACGGTACGAGTGCTGCCAGATTCAAAGATTTTTCTTCAGATCTGAAGAAAATTTAATCAATCTGCGATATTTGAAGAATTTGAAGAATTATTGTAAAAATATAAAGATTTTTTTAAAAAGTTTGCAAAAGTTTTATATGTCACTTTATTGTGAAAAGTTTTACCAATGTCCAATGTGATTTCAGCTTAATAGACTGTTAAGCCAGTGAACTAGGTTTAATAATGTAATTAAACCTAATTCACCGACTAAAACTCTGATTAATATAGTTGTGGATATCGGACCTAAGCAGATAATGCGAGCAGACGATTTTCATTGGATTTGCTCATAGATACTTGCAGTAAATAAAAATTTAAATATAAGGACCAATCAAAAGCGACTCGATTGCGCTAACGCACCTAACCTTACAAAACACGTGTTATGCCTTACCGGTTCGACAATTCCGAAATGGATCAAGCAGAATAAACTGAACATCACACAACAGAAAAAATAAAAAAACGCACTAAAAAAACCTATCCGCAGAAATACCAAGCAGTATGGGAAAAGGAACCGACATTTAAAAATTGGATTCGGCCTAGTGAACAAGGAAATCTATTCTTTTCATGTGATTATTGTAAACAATCCTACAAAGCTGGCAAAGTAGAAGTTTCTCGACATTTAAAGTCAAAAAAGCATTCTGAAAATGCATCAAAATTCGGTAGAAATCAATCTGTATTGACCAATATTGGTTATGAAATAAGGTTGGGCATAGAGAAAAAATCGAAGATAAATGAAATAAAAATCACCAGTTTTATAGCCGAGCATAATTTATCCTTCTCAACTTCAGATCATCTTGTAAAACTCATTCAAAATTTACATCTTGATGAGGGGGTAGTTAAAAAAATGACGTGCGGCAGAACAAAGTGTAAATCTTTAATCGTTAATGTGATAGGGAAATATAGTTTTGAAAATCTAATCACAAAATTAAAGGAAAATAAATTTTCAATAATGATTGATGAATCAACTGATAAGTCGTCAGTAAAAACTTTGGCAATTGTTGTACGATATTTCAACGACCTAAAAGTAGATGATAATTTTTTGTGCATTAAAGAAGTATCACAAGCTGATACAGACCACCTTTACAGTGAAATAATTAATTTATTTAATGAAAATGGTGTGCCTTATAAAACCAACATGTTAGGATTCGCTGCAGATAATGCATCTGTCATGATGGGTAAACACCACTCGGTTTCTGCCCTTCTTAAACGTGATAATCCATTTTTGTTTATTGTTCGATGTATTTGCCACTCTTTCGATCTAGCAGCATCTAGTGCTTGTGAAAAACTTCCTGGAGATGTAGAATCGTTAGTTCGATATGTTTACAATTATATGCATAGAAGTTTTAAAAGATTATCGGAATTCAAAGAGTTTCAATTGTTTGTTGATTTAAAACCGCATAAATTACTCCATCCGAGTCAAACTAGATGGTTATCTTTGTTGCTTTCTGTTCAACGAGTCAGAGAACAATACTCTGCATTAAAATTGTATTTTGTTTCGGAACATTTAAAAAAAAATTGCGATGATCTTTCTACTGCTACGACGATTCATTTGCTTTTAGAAAATCCGGTAAACAAACTGTATCTCGACTTTTTAAGCTTTGTACTTCCATTGTTTACTGATTTAAACAAGGAGTTTCAATCTGAATCTAGCAAAATTCATATTGTATATGCGAAAGTGGCTCAAGTTTATAAAACTTTATTAGATTGTTACGTGAAACGAGATTACATAATTAATACACCTTTGGATCGTCTTCAATATAGAAATCCAGAAAATTTCATGAAATTAGAAGACATTTATTTTGGCCCGGCTGTTGCTTTATCGCTTACTCAAAATGAAGGCATTTTTAGTAGAGAAGATTTACAAAAATTTAGGTTAAATTGACTCAATTTTTTTATTGAAGCATCTCATCAACTATTTCAACGGTTTCCATTTAATTCTGCTTATCAAAAAATGTTAGAAAACATGAATGTATTTGATCCTGCGTATTTTAAAGCAAATCGTCCTACATCAATCTGTAATCTTGCTGTAATGTTTCCTCCTGAAATGATTGAGACAGAAATTTTAGAAGCACAGTGGCGTTTATTTCGAAACGATACATATGTTGACAATCAAGAGTCAAATGACTTTTACGAGTTTTGGAATGGGGTTGGCAAAATTTTAAATCCCGACGGTTCTTTAAAATATGGACAAGTGTACGAATTATTTAAATCGATCGCCGTACTTCCCCATAGTAGCGCAGCAGTGGAAAGAATATTTTCCCAAATAAATATAAATAAAACAAAATTGCGAAATTCACTTGAAACGGAATCAGTTAGTGGAATTTTGTTAACAAAGAGACTGATGAAAAATGATGCCTGTTATAATTACAGCATCCCAATTGAACTAGTGCAAAAACATAAGGCTGACATGTACTAATACGTCAATTAATATTTTAAATGGTTTTAAAAATGTTTCAATATTTTAAAGTATTTTATTTCCTATTAAGAATATGAAACTGTGATTATTAAAATTGATGTGATAGAAAGTTTATGTATAAAGTATAAATGAAAATATTTATATAAACGTGAATAATATAAATAAAACATTTTTTAAAGATATATTGTAATTTTTGTTCTTTACATTCTTATGAGTATAATAATAAATATAATAATTTTAATAAGATATATGACATTCATTATTATTTAGCAAATTAATAATTTAATATTTCCAAGGATAAATCTAAATAATTTTGGAATCAAAATTTTTAAAATGTTAACCACATTCTTTAGAAGAATCAAACTCTTTCTATGAATAGTATTTTTGAAAGAATTTAATTATTTTCAATACATGAAGTTTAAAATCCAAAACAATTAAAAAGAAAAATTAAAAAAGTTAAGAAAAAAATAAGCAAACAAAACTAACTTTCAAATTGCAAACAGATTACGTAATATAACAATTATTAATATAGATTATAATTGTATTATTTTACTATTATAACTATTGCGCTTTTAAATTTTCCCGCTGTAAATTGTTAACCACACACTTTTTTACGACATTCATGACCGACATTGTTCTAATTCTTTAAAATTGTTTGTGAATTTTAATTTAATTTATCATATTTGAAAAAATATATAAATAAAATCTGAAGAAATATTTGAAGAAATTTTTTTATTTAGTCTAAAGATTTCTGAAGATAAATAAGGAAAGTTTGAAGATTTGTCGTTGTAGTCATCTGGCAGCACCGTCGGTATCTCAGTAGCCACTAGGAAACCTCTCGG